GCCTGGTTCATCCAATAAAAAGCTTACCGATGCTTTTATATCAGCTCTTTGCCTGTCCTCAAAACATGGCGGTTGCTATGGTAACCTTCTGTAATTATGCAACCGGGTAAAATAGAAAGTAAATCTCTAATCGTTCCAAAAATGTTACTATAACCATATACTTCTACCATCAAATATAACGGCTGGTTTCATCGACGCTTCTATAGTATCTAAGATGAACTCGAAGCCGTCCACTGGGCTTCCTGATGTTAGCAGATGTTGGGTAAATAATAATAATATAAGCATAAAAATGAAGAAAAGGAACAAATACAAACATTTAGACAAGAGCAGACACTAAAGACAAAAACAAAAAAGCGAATAACAAACACAAACAATGGTAACAACAAATTATTAAAATATACCAACTAGTGATGGCAATAAAATGCAAATATCAGACACTGATTCCCACTGCTCGGCGCTCACCGTCAATAAATTTCATCACAGATTTACATAATTGTGCGAAATCTTTATAGCATAAAAAGGGATTTTCAAAATCAATATTTTTATTGTTTCTTAAGCCATCAAAGTAGGGACAGACCTCGAAGAAATGCTTAGCATCACCAAACAAATCACATAGTTTACATTTATCGTTGTTCTGTATCTTAAACCTAGCGAAGTATCCCGGGAAACACCCATGTCCGGTCAGAAACTGGTTAACTTCAAAATCATTAAAGATAATTTTTGTTTTCCTAATCAGTTCTAAATGTTTCAAATAGCTACTTTTCCTTTTAGAAGAATTCCATCGTAACTGCCATTGCTTAAAATAAAACGAATAAATAACTTTAGTTGCTATTTTTTTTTAACCCTGAACATAAGGCGTCCCCGAAACACTCCCTATGGCAGCCTCTTTTGCGAGCACATCCGCTCTCTCATTACCGTATATTCCGATATGGGCTTTAACCCAATCAAAACTTAATATTAAAGGATAAGGATAGTTTTTGGAAAAGATCTTTAATATCGATAATCAGACCATTATTATTTTCTGCATTATAAAGTGCATTTAAACAAGACATGCAATCTGTAAAAATATGGAAGTTATAATTTCTTGCAAAATTACTTTTCAATATTCATTTAAGGGCATAGAGGACGGCGATGAGCTCGGCTTGATAAACAGAGTTATATTTTTCAAGGCCCAATTTATAGTGATAGATCTCAGTATCAAAATAATATACAACAAAAGCCGAACCCACCCCGCCCTCATAACCCGATCCATCAGTAAAAATTTGGTAATGTTAATGTTGGGTGCAGTCTTGGGAGGGAGCCGACTAAATATTGCTTTTTCCTGACACATAATCTTTAATTTGTTCGGGCGCAACTTATAGGATTACGCTTGATTCGGTAAAGTTACTTAAGTCCTATGAGTTATCGCTATGTCAGAGAGCGAGAACAAAATCTTGAGAAGGTTAAAATAACTTTTTTATTTAAACAAAACTAAGAACATTAGTGCATGATATTGTGCTACAATGACCACAGTTGATGGTGATGGCAAACGTATAGAACAGCCCAGTTTAACTTAAACGTTGAACAGTAGTCAAAGACTTATAAGGTATTTCTCCCGCCTTCTTAACATGCCTTTGTGGTGAGGCGATCTGCACCCTGGGCGCGTATTCCAGAGGTCTGTGGTTTGATTCCCTGCGAGGGCGTTTCTCATTTTTCCTCTTTCCTTCTTCCGAAAAATCCTAATGTCTCTACAGACTCCACAGTTAAATACTGTACTTGAAAGCTGCCTCACTGCAGAGCATCAGAATTAAAGTGTCTGCAGGGAGAGACCGCAAAGCCAAATAACCGTTAGAGCTGGAAGAAAACTAACCACGTAGAACGCACGGAATGCTAGAAACGCTCTCTGTTTCAAGTCCAAAAATCTCAGTTCAAATACTCACTACTAATTTGCACTGTGGTGAAGAACACGGAAAGAAGTTATGGTTAAAAACTGAAATTATAATAACTGGTTAATTAACGTAAGATTCACTACAACCTTAAAATTCAATACATTTCATTAAAAGTTATTCAAACAGTGATGCCCATTTAAATCAGGAACCAAAAAAGAGAAGAGACTATATAACTTCTTCCTTTCTCCATGCCCTCGTGGTGTAACGGTAGCACACTCGGCGCGTATTCGAGAGGTCCAGGTTCGAATTGCTCATTTTTCATGTCTCCTGCTTGAAAAATCCCAACGACTCTACAGTGGCGCCTGAACTAAAAGGTAGTGGATGATAATTCATCGCCACCAGGATTTGGCGATTGGGCCCCCTCATCCCCAGAGTTGCCATTTAAAAGGGGAAGTATATAAGGTATTTTCTTTCTCTTTTCTTTATACCTTCGTGGTGTAAAGGTAGCACACACAGAGTGTATTCGGGAAGCCCAGGATCGAGTCCTGGCTAGGATATTACAGTCAAAAGTCGTTAATTCGGACACCCATAATCCGGAATGATCTATAATCCGGACCTCAAAGCTAAAATCTTTCTGCGCATGCGCCGCATTGACGCATGCGCATAGGCGTTTTACTCGTGCGCGCAAGACATTTTCGACTGCGTATATGCGTCTGCGCAAGTGCAGAATACGTTTTCGCCTGCGCATTTAATGTATAACGGACTGTATAAGCTAAAATTATCTAATTATCTATTTCAGTTAATGTTGATGATTGCGTTGTTCCTTAATCTTCGAATTGGATCCGGCTTACTATTTTTTGCAGTCTGTAAGAGCAATTTTCTAAAAGTAAGCTTGAACTTTCGATTATGTCAAATAGAATTTCCGATGCTGGAGCTCCCAAAGGATCTAGAAAACGAAAGTATGTTCCGATGTCCATCAAACAAAAAACGAATTGCTACAAAAAATGGCTAAAGGCATATTCTTTGTTTATCTAACCGTTCCGAAATCTGTTTATCAATTTCACGCTGCTCTGCGCGGGGGGGGGGGACGTCGCGGCGCGCAATGAACTGAAAGTTGATTTGTCAACACTATCGTTATCTTCAGGGCATTCCTTATTTTATTCGGCTTATAATTCCTTACTAAATGTAGTATTTAATTTCGATGTACTCCGTCTTTGATATGATTTAAATTAAATTCCTCGTCATTATAAATATCACGAATACAAATCAAATAGTTTTCTGGTTGCAATTTTCTAATTTCGGCTGTGCGTAAGGTATGCTTTACGCATCCGCGCGTTGAAAGAAATGTTTAATAAAGTAAACAAATAAATATTAGGTTTCTTTTTTGGTAAATTTTGATACCCTTTAGATCATAATTGCTCATTATTTTATAAATTACGGTTTCATATTTTTAATTTTATAATTTCTGCATGCCATCTTACCAGATTTAAACTGATGATCTATAATCCGGAAAAATCGATAATCCGGAATCGCCGAAGTCCCGACGAGTCCGGATTAAAGACTTTTGACTGTACTCCTTTTTCATGTCTCCTGCTTCGAAAATCCTACTGACTCCGCAACTAAAGAAGTCCTGCGGATTTCTCTACAAACTTTAGTAAGTTATAGGAATATGACCAAATAAATACAATAAAGTTGTTTTCAATTCAGTAGTCAAACGTGTGAATAAAATTTATCCCTCTTCTGCTTCGTCTCAATAAATTAGTCAATTGTTATATAAATCGTAGATATCGATGATTAAAAAGTTATGGGCATCATATATATAATTCATATTATATATGCATATATTAAATCAGTCATAATATGATGTTTAAGATTAATATACTTAAATTCAACCTCAAAAGAACGGTGGTTTGCGATTGTTTTTCTAAATTCCATTCACCGCTTTTATATTAAGAAGTAATAATCACATTGTTGAGCTAAAATTTTGAGTTCCTAATCCACGAGTTCTGTTCAACTTGTTTTTAAAATTTGATATTTCTTTTAGACATTTTTAAATGTTTAGTATATATTAAAGCCCAAGAAAAATGTTTTAAGAATCAAACGATTGAACACTCCTGAATTTTATTATGTGTCATGATTTTATTAAAATGGACCTCAATGTCTCTCTTCAGTCGAAACGTGAAGTTGCAAATTCGATACTTGAGACAATTTACGAAATTTAAAAAATGATGGCGAAGAAAACAAAAGAAGGGTAATTAGATCCATCCTACTGAAATCTAGCACAGCAGATACAAAAGCAAGATAAAAATTGCTGTTGGCCAAGAAGAAGTAATACCCAAATTGTCCCTTAAACGGGAGGAAAGCAATGACATCACGAAAATATCACATTTGACTTATATAGTACAAACTCTATAACACAAAAAGCGACGGACGCACCACAGAGTTGTACGAATTGGATGAAATTATGTATTCCCATACCTTAGAATAGAACATGCAGATGATTAAATTTTAGCTGTTAATAACTGACTAGTTGAAGCTCCATTGCATTGGAAAGGAGCATCCGTATGGTATATAAGAGAAAGGAAGTGTTAAAGCTTTTTCTTTCATGAGAATTTTATTCTGTCGATATATTAGGTCTGTAGACAGACGTGTTCGGAAACTAAAATTGTAATCTATCATTATTAGAAGAGATTATACTGAAAATTTCTCTTCTTAATACCAAAGTAAATGGACATTTCTAAATAGAATAACTAATATATGTTTCTTCATTTAGTTTTCAACATTTATGTCATGCATACACTTCGAAGAAATGATTAACTTATTATGGAACATTCTTATAGCCAAATTTCTTAAAATTCCTTCCTAACCGAGATTCTGATAGTTTTCTTTCAAAAGGTGAAGGTAATAATAATATTGAAAATCACAGCAGCCAATTCTTTTTTTTAAACTATTAACTTACTCTGATTCAGTATTTAGGTTGTGGTAGAGTGAGCAGGATTGCTCAATAAGCTTTATCCTCTTAACCGAAATGGCAGAAAATTATTTACATAAAGGCAACTCAATTTTACTTGCCGTTCGGTGGTTCAATTGAATTTTCAGTAAACGGTAGGAGTTAACGAAGAAAATACTTCTGGAAACGAAGAGATCCAACTTAATTATCTCTTCTCTTCAACTAGAGTCTGAAGAAGTTACAGCTTGGGAAAATGGGTTTATTTTTCGGGATGTATATGAAGGTAAATATTTTAGTTTTTCCTAGAAAGTAAAATGAATTAGAGTTCAATAGTTTTCTGGTTAAATATAATCCCATGGTTGCATAACGTAACCGAAGAATAATTGTTACAGTTTCCTTACCGCAGAATTTTTCGTGCTTTATGTATCTTTTGCATAAACTGAAATTAAACAAAATGTCTGAAACTGAAATATTTTACGAATTTAGATGCTTGTTTCGCAATATATTATTCTAATTCATATTTGTAAAACAATAAGAATGAATAAAGTTTGGTACTTTATCTTGTATGATTAATATTAGAACTGACGAATATAATAAATGTTGCCATTTCTTCACGCGTTTAATTGCATCAGTAATTTAATTTCTTCAAGTGGGAATGAATCCAAACTAATCTTATGTTTAAAAAATGTAGTTTTTTTTAATATACGACAATTTACCAAGCTTCTCATAATTCTTTACTTGCTGGAATTAAAGATATTTGCAGAAGGAAATTTCAATATTTGAAGTTAATAAATGATCCTGTCGCAAAAGTAAATTTCGAATTAATAGCAACACTGCGGTGTACAGCTTTACTTATCCTGGAACTGTAGCAATTGCCCAGTATGTATTTAAATTGCTTGGAATAAATTATAACGCAATTGCTAATTGAGTTAAAACTTTTGAGGGTTGATTCATAGACACGAATTTATACTAAATCTCGTTATAACTGCACATTCGTTTGGTTAAAATAATTGAATAACTGCGATTCAGATTAAAAATTTGAGTTTCTTTAAATTTATAAATCTTTTTTTTTTTTTTTTTCTGTAAATATATATATGTGTGTGTGGTTTCTGTAAAATGTATATTATATGTAGTAACATTTGCGTTTTATAAGTAATTTTAATTAATAAGCTAACTACAGTTTAGTTTATTATTATTTAATTACCGATTTCTTGTTTTCTGTTTTTCACTCCGGCTAAAATCGCTCCAGGAGAGATCACTTTAAGAATATAGTATTTAAAGCAAATTGTTCCCTTCAGAGATTTTTGTGGCAAGGTACTATTTCCTGTAGAAACTTTAGTGCAGTTTTTTGCATTGCAGATGAATTACAAAAGTGCCTATTTTAAAAAAGGTTAAGAGTTTTAGACCTTTTATTACGTCCAAAGGACCGTTTTTTAACGTTTTGAGTGTTACCTTTATTTATTAAATATCATGTTCTTCGCACTTAAACTATAAAACTTAATTCAACACCAATACACAAAATAATTTAAAAGAGCATATCTTTAGAATTTCCGAAACGCAGCGTGCTAGAGATAAAAACGTTTCTCTCTCTCTTTTTTTTTTTTTTTTTTTTTTTTTTTTTTTTTTTTTTTTTTCCGTGCAGTGTTGCGATTGCTCGCTTTGAAATCGTTGAGTTTGTTAATCAAAAATTCGTTAAGCTTTACAAAATTTCAAATAGCTAGTAAAATAAATTCTAAATTCCAAATTTGGGCTTCCAGATGCGCATGTTCAAGTCGATGACTATGTTATTCAAAATTTGATGTCTCAAGTTGCCGTTTTTTCACTATCACTGAAACGTACATTCATGCAGATTCTTCATTAATTAACTTTTTTAAATATAATGCAAGGATCTGATATTTGGTGGCAACAATTTGAAAAGAGAAACTCCGTTTATACTGAACCAACGCAAAATGCCAAAACGAAACTAATAGCCCTTCTGAGCAAATTACCCCTTTGGACTAAAAATCACGATTTATCTATAAAAATCATCTATAAAAACTTGGAATGCAATAAAAAGAATACAAAGGAACATAGCGACGTTGTTTATTAAAACTGAAGAATTGTTACGCGCATGATTGCTTGAGTTTGGCGAATTTTGAAAAATTTAGCTACATCTACTAAACTGGTTACTCTTACTGGTTAATTTTTCATGTTAGACATAATATGGTAACTTTGGCTAATCTTTGGAATATGGTAAAATGTAGTTTGGCGACATTTTGGTAAGGCGATAAAGGTTACTAGCTAGGACTTTAGCAATAATCTAAGAAGTACACAATTCGAATCACAGATTATTTTGTCTCAGAGAAATGAGAGATCATGAGACATGTAATGTGACATTTTCCGGAAAATTCCGATCTGGATTTTAGCTAATAAGCACTTAGAAACAATTTCGCTGCTAAAGTGCAGAATCGCTCGCTTATTTGTTTGGCGCTTTTTACAAGAGTAAGAAGAATTGGATTTTTGTCAATTTTCTTTGACTTTTTAAGTGAAAATAGTACGATGTGTACATGGATAAAGTCAAGAGTATGCGCAATGCCATTTTTGTGCAATTCTGGGATTTTTTTTTAAGTGAAAATAGGTCGATGTGTAGTATATGCAATTCTTAAAAACGCGGCTAGCAGTGGGCGATTCTACACTTTCTCTCAATTTCGCACATAATCTTCGTCATGATTGAGCACTTTTTTTCCATAAAAGTTCTAGCATAAGCGTAATTCGGCTAGCAGATTGTTGGAAAAATGTTGAGTAAAAAAAAAAAAAGAAAAGAAAAATGCCGTGAAAACAAAATGGCGTTCGAAAAACTAGCAGGGTTGTTCGTCAAAAAATCGCCAAGTTACCATAATCCGAAGATTCACCCATTATCTATATATAATTAATTAAAAATTAAATATATCGCAGCGTAATCCTTTGTTCTAATAAGGGACTGCCTAAATATATCAAGCATTTTTAACATTATCTGTTATGGTAAATTACTTGTGTCAAAATCTACGAATACCTTAAAAGGGGGGGGGTCTTGTTGAAACTACAAATTAATGGTAGCCAGTATGAAAATGATTAATAACGTCACTATAAGATTAGATTTTTTTCAATACTTTATAGGAAGCGAGAAAGTTATAAAATAAACTTTTGTTTAAACTCCCAAGATAACTAAATTAAAAGTAGAAAAACAATTTTATCATATAATTCAATGGGAGTAAGCTTACATAAGGGTCGTTCAAATATTCATCTATGGTTTTATATCACGGATAATAAAACCGTGGGGTGCCTTTGATAAATTTATAAAGTCAATGACTTATAAAGTCTGCGTACATCAAGAAAAGTAATATCAAATCCAAATTTTAAGGTGCGAAAAGGGTAGTTTCTTAAAGTTTTATTTTTTAAATATTGTTTCAATAAGGGACTTTGAAATTATTTAATGTAATATTTCATATCTAATAATTTATGTACACTAATTTTAAAAGATAAGTGGCAGAAATCAAAGCCAAAGTTTGCGTACAACCGAGGAGGCGGGGATTTCTTATCTAACTTTTAAACTTCAAAATTGAGAAGCAAAGAAGGTTACTTTCAGGTCATTGACTTCCGAAGCAAATTTCACTTTGATTGGAAGTTAATATTTCTATTTCTTTGACGAAATGACAACAATAAAGAAAATTCCTTTAGTACGAGATAATAATTATCAAAAATGAGAGATGAAGGTAAAAACTCTTCGTTATATTGGTAAAACATTGAAAAACCATTTTCCAGTGTGCAAAGAGTTATTCAAAACTATCTTGACCTGTAGTCTTGGTAAAAACCAAGATGTGGGAGACCGAAGAAGCTAACGCAGAAAGAAGAAAGAAAAATTCTTTTACGAATTAAAAAATCCTAAACTTTCTGCTGCAAGCATTGCAAAAGACATTTTTTAACTAGCAACAGGAATTCTCCTGAAACTGTACAAAAGTGCTGCGAAGTCCATATCATGGACGCAAACCTAGGTCTAAAGCCATACATTCCGAGACAAATAGAAAAAAGAATTGCTTTGCAAAACAATTTAAACTCTTCGCAGAATTCTGGAACAATGTAATTTGGTCAGATGAAAGTAAATTTACAATATTTAAGTAATGGCCACCCTATGTATGGAGAAAACCAGAACAGAATGAATCTGAGAAATTTAATCCAAACTGTCAAAACATGGAGTTGGCGGTGTGATGGTATGGGGGTTTATGTCGTCGAAAGGAGTTGGAAATTTTCACATTATTGATAAAGTCATGGATAAGTATGTTTATCTGGATATTCTGAAGAAAAATCTGCGAGACAGTGCCGAAATTTAAACCTTTCTAATACCTTATTTTCCAATAAGACAACAACTCGAACATACAGCTAAAATTGTGAAGGAATATCTCCTATCACACTCCAAGACAGTTACGTACTCCCACAGTCACCAGACCTCAATCCAATCGAACATTTGGGAAAATTGGAGAAATGAATTCAAAACACAATATTACTCGCAAAAAGCTAATTAGTAAATTGCAGGAAGAATGGGCGAAATTTACGTCGGATGGACACTGAAAAAAGTTCAGTCAATGCCCAGACGTCTGCAAGCTGTTTTGAAGAATAAAGGATATCTACAAAGGATTGAAGTAAGTAAAAACTTATAATATATATTTTTTTTTGAAAAGTGTACGACTTATTGGAGGAATTTCTGAGTTTTTTGACAAAATATATTTTGAAAAAAAATGTAAAAAGTATTACACTGATATTATTTACTTTTTATTTAAGCTTACAATTTAGCTAATAGAAGAAAAAAATGCAATGATTAAAATACATTTTTCTATGCTTTAAGTGTTTTTTTAATTTAAAATTTAGTCTGTACGCAGACTTTTGTGACTAACTGTACTTTCATAAGCAACGCGATTCGATTATTTAGGCTTCATTATTCAGGCGTCAACGCTTTCGTTATTTGTAGCATAAAATTGTGAGAAATTCCTATAAAAGAATTATTTAATCTAATGCTCTCGTTGAATTATTACCGATGAATTATTCCCATTAAAATTACGTTTCTATTTTTAGTTCATGATTTTGTGAGTTTTGAATAAGATTATTTTACAAAGAAATTTATTTAATTTTTAATTCTTTTCATTTAATCATTTTCATTTCGTTTAATGCCTTAATGACACGTTATCAATCAAATTATTCAATTAAGAAATTATTATTCGACAGTGAATAATCCTTTTACTTGCAACAAGTATTAACCTTCAAATGACTGGC